GGCAAAATGCTAACAATTCTTGAATCTAGATGATGGTTGGCCTGGACAACAGATGTCCACCAATATGCATTAGGATAGCGTGCTGGCTAGGATCCTCCAATAGCTTGCTGGCACCATGCTGTTTTGAAATGTTTTATTTTGCTATTTTAAAGCATTTTTACTTCTACTCATAAGAAGAACATTGTCCATCCTTGTCTTTCAAAATAGATATTTAATGTCCACTCTAGAAAAATAATCATAAAAGTCAAGACCTTTCACTGTCAGAGCCAGGGGTTTTCATGGGGCTGCCAAAGTTAAGCTTTAAATCACAAGAAGATTTAAGTTTGGAGAGCTGAGCTTAAAGTGTATAAGAGAGGGAGAGGGGCTGCACAATTTGTCATCCAGGCCAGGACATTTCTGAGTATCAAGGGTGAACCACTATTAATTACACAGGGATGATCAGCTTAAGCTATGACAGCCACAGGAAACACTCGGGACACATAGACTTCCAAGTCAAAGCCATGGAATGTGAAGAAAGCAGAACATAATGTTAGGTCATTTCTCATCAGGCATGGTAGAAATAAAATTATTCCTGTGTCAGGAGGGAGAGGAAAGTAACATGGTTTCAAGTCAAATGAGATGTCTACTTAGGGTACCTCCCACCCCATTCCTACCTACATCAGGGTCAAAGTTCTGGAAAAAGAGTATGAGTTCTCAATAAATGGGAATCAAAGTGAGCATAAAATAGGGACATGGCAATGTTAAGGCAGAGATGATCTGACAATCATTTATTCATTTCCACTATGATATTTAAATTACTAATGTACAAAGTATTGTTCAAAGTCTTGGGCTACATAAGAGAAGAAATCTTCTATGACATTGCTGCCCATTAGGTCCCTTGAGGGTGCTCACCCCTACCCTGCAGACTTCCCATACCCTGCAGCCTCAGGTTCCCCATGGAGGAGATCTAGAAGTTTCCACGGGCTCCAGAGTTGAACTCGGATTAGGGAACAAGCATGCCTGGCAGGTGAAGGGACTCTTGTGGCAGAAGTTCCAGGCAGAGGACAGGTGGAAAAACACTGGGACTGGAAACACTCTCAAAAAGGCTTCGTGCCCTTGAGAACCCAGGAGAGCCAAGGCCCACAAGCCAGAAGTCTCCCCAAACACTTCCATCTTTTTTATTCAGGTGAGTTTTTAAAGTAAATTTATCTTCAACTGATACATAAAAATTATATATCTATATTAATGGGGTAATGGTGATATTCAATAAATCTATACAATGTATAGTTTAAATCAGGTTAAATATAAATTCCTCAAACATTTATCATATCTTCATGGTAAAAACTTTTAAAATTCTTTCCACTAGCTTTCTAAAATTTACAATATATTATAGTGATATATAGTCAGCCTCCCTGCAATAGCTCACCAAACTTTTAGCTCTGTCTGACTATAACTGATCACCCCTTGGTTAACAATTTTTGATCCCTCCCTCCCCACATTCATTCTCTCTCTCTCTCTCTCCCTCCCTTCCTCCCTTCCTTCCCTCCTCTCTGTCCATTTCTGTCTCTCTCTTTCTCTAAGTCAGACTTATTCACAACTTGGTCACATGAGTTGTGACTATTCACAACTTCTATGAGATCAGCTTCTTTTACACTCCATATGTGAGTGAGACCAGGTGCTACTTGCTCCATCTTACACACTTTCCACTGCAGTCAAGGAGTGGGAAGCACAGGGAAGCAAGGAGGTCCAAGTCTGTGCCTTTATCCAGAAAAGGAAAGCAGAAATGACTCACAAGAGCCTGTTGTTTTTAATCCAGAAGAGACTAAATTCCTTGAATGAGAGCATTCAAGTTTGCCATTTGTATCAGATTTTGCTGTTTTTCACTAAACAAAAACGGATGTTCCTGACCAAGTTGAATATAGTTATAGATAAGAAAGAAAATCACATTTCTGCCCTCCTCTGTGGTACTGCTAAGGAAATTCTGTCTGCCCCCAAGCTAGACAAGGTACATACATGATCTCTTTTCATCTAGACTCCCGCTTTGATGGGTCTTTGTGGGGATTAAAAGAGATTATAACTGCAGAGTGCTCCCGGGAAGGTGGATGTCCTTCTGTTACAGAGGAGGAGGCTGATGCTGAAAGATGCAAATTGCCTGATCTCACACAACTAATAACAGGTAGCAGAAGCCTTAAGATATGGTAAACTCTCTCCTGATCCAAAGTAGTGACAATGTCATTCCGTTGACTCATTCATTCATTCACCCCTTGGGTGACCCAGGTGTTCCGTGAGGCACTGGGAGCAGACACAAAGTGGCCTCCCACATGGCACTTGCCATCAAAGGGCCATCTGAGCCAAGAAAGCATAATCATGGCGATTCGGACATCGTGTGTAAGTTATATGGTAAGTAATATGAAGGGCTATGAAGGGATCCTCAGCGCTGCTGGAGTCCGACTGAATAGGGAAGGAAGACATGCAGGAGGAAGAGGCTTCTACACAGTGACAGGAAGGTGAGGATAAGGAAGCTCCACAAAAGAAGAAAGGGGCATAGGAGAAGAGAATTCAGGAAGCGGGAACCACATGCACAAAAGCTAGAATTAAGATAGTTTATTGAGTGATTAGAAATACTTTAGGAAGATTGGTGTTTAATAGTAATAAGATAGCTAAAAAAATATACAAAAGAGATACTCCCATGCTTATGTTTATCGTGGCACTATTCACAGTAGCCAAGGTGTGGGTCTAAGCGCCTGTCAATAGATTAATGGATAAAGAAAATATGGTACATATGCATGATGGGGTGTTCCTTAGCTACAAAGAAGAATGAAATCATGTCATTTAAAGGAAAATGTTTGGAATTGGAGTGTCTTCGTGTTAAGCAAAATAAGTCACAGAAGACAAATATCACGTGCTTTCTCTCATATGTAGAAACATTAAAAAATAACCTAAAAGTAAAGGGTGGGCTATAAGGAAAAAGAAGGGAGTGCAGGGAGAAGTGAAAGAAAGGAGGGAAAGACAGGGGTAGAAAGGGATAGATATATAGATAGACATGCATATACTTTTAGAATAAGCATACTCCAAGTAGCCTATAAAGGACTTGATGGACAAGAGGACTTGAAGTTAAAGGAAAGAGAGGGGCTGACTAGAGAGGGGAAAAAATGCTGCCCCTAAGAAGGCGGAAGAAATGGGCCTGGGACTGAATTAGGATGGTGAGAAAGCGGAAAGGCTATGTGTGACTGCAGGGAAGTTTCCAGTGTTAAGCAGGAAGCTGGAGTTCCTATCTGCTATGAGCGGGGGGTGGGGGGCCCTAGGTAGGGAAGGCAGAATTTTATTTTTACTTATTTTGGGGGGGGAGTAAGGGGCAGGAAATTTTATTTATTTACTATCTGCTATGCTTTCTGCTCAAGCTTTTCCAAAACCTCAATTCAATCTACGTTTGAAACAATGTTGATCCATAAATAGTATCACTCTCATTTTCTTTAGGAGGAAAGTAAAGCTTAGAAAATTGAATAAATGGCCCAATTACACAGCAGGCAAAAGTAGAGCCAGGGTGCCAACCCGGTGCCCATAGGACTTGAATGCAATGTTTTCCCAGATGCGTTTGCCAAAAAAAGAGAAAAAGAAGAGAAAAGGGAGATCAAAGGGTAAAATACTAGCATTCGGAAAGAAGTCAAATATTCAGGAAGAGAGGCCAAGAAGTGGAAGAACGTGTGATTGTTAGGGACAAAAGTAAGGTAAAAGAGTAGTAGACAAAGAGAGAG